AATTGAGGTCTGGAAAAATTATCTTTAGCGCTAGACATAGACCGCTTTTCCCTCTAGAGCTACCAAAACAGATTCGAATGACAGAAATTTAAGGACTATTTTGGAGCTGCTCAAATCTTCAGATAAGTCTTTCGCTTCGAAAAATTTTAATTTTGGTGTTGAGAATTTTCACACGAAAATTTAACGTAAGTCATCGCGGTTACAACATCATTTTTCATTTTCCCAGGGAATCTTTCATGTATTTATACCACCGCTGTAATGTAGCAAAGCTTAACAGACTGCATCAGATATTTTTGGAGTATAATCATCAAAGTTACTGGCAATAAAAATTTCCTAGATAAATTTTTGTGATAAGAATTCTCATTCTTACAGCAGAGATCCTGCCTCTTATCTTATGAATTCTGAAATTGCGATTCTTTTCGTAAGATTTGCAATTAAACATTCTCTCTAGAAGAACTTTCTATTTCATTGCCTTCTGGAAAGAATTTTCGTTCTTGAGAAAAGAATTCCCGATTCTTGTGGCAAGAGTTTCTGAAAAAGAGATTCTTCTCAAGATAGTTAGGTGTAATGGATTCTTACTAGAAGAATTCTCTTCTATTCAGTCTTGTCTCAAGAACCTCGATTCTCCTTGCAACAATCATAATAAAATTATTCTTGTGATGAGAATTTTGGTTCTTAATCGGAGAAAATGCAATTTGGATAATTAACAGTGTGATGCATCCATTTTGAAATCACAGATGATCTTTCAATCTAATTGGCTTTCATCAGTGCGACTCATTCACGAATCGCACCATTTTTGCCCTAAACGCATCTCTCTCTCAGCGAATGAGAGGCCAACACCTAAAATAAAACAACCAGTCAATCCTGAAGGCTTGTTTAAAGTAATCAATCAAATAGCAGGAAAATGAAAGACAAACCAGGTTAGTACTGAAGCAATGAAATGTTTGTGCAGACTAAAAGATCCTTTATTTGAGCGATTGCATTTTGCGATTTTAAAAGGGATACTATAAATTTGAAATTAAACTTAAATTAAACGTGTCGTGCAATTTTGGTCTGATATTTCAATTCACGCACATGATTTCAGACCAAATTGCACTCCAATTACTGCAATCACCCATATTAATCGAATCTGTTCCTTTTAATCGATGATATGTTCTCCTTTACTCCTTTGAAGAACCCAAGATAAGGCAAGTGTTTTAAATCTTTTCCCACGGCCTCTCAATCGGGTTCGATAACGACAGGCCGCAGTTCTAGCGGATTAATTTTCCTGTGACAGTCCATTGGTATTCTGTTACATCGCGGTTCCACTTGCGGTTACTAACCGTGACATTCTAAGGAAAAATTGATGGTTGAACCTCGCTGGTGTAACGAACCATTCAGTGAAGTAAGAATTAGGAATGAGTTTTACCTCCAATGCAGTCTGGAGCTACATTTTCTTTTAAATAGGAAAAAAATCGAAATAAAGTAAAATGTAAATTCATAAAGTAAGGCACTGGGCATTTGAGAGTCAGGATGTGAATGTAATTATCAAATATACAGACATTTGTGGTTATTGAGATTACAATTTTTTTCTTCATTAATGATCTTATCTCATCCTTGCTGATTACATGATTTCGCTGGTGGATTAAACTAGCCAACAGCCACCTTCATTGCAAAAAAAAGTTGAGTTAAAATTAAATGCGAAACAAACAAATTACATATCAATTCAACCTTTTCGGGAAATTTCGATAAAACAGCCACAATCGTCATAGCAAGAAACTTCTTATCAATTTAATATGAGTACAATGCGCCCAACAGTTTATTTATTTATTTATTTTTTTTATACAGATGGTAATCATGCTACGATATCTGAGTAGAATTGCCAAACATCGCAACTATGAGAAAACGAAACATAAACATTTCTCAGCTGATTACCAGGATTGTCTTTTGGAAACCTAATTGTTGCTATGTCGCTGTTCGGAGAGGGAATTGTTTTTCAAGATATCAAGAGGCAAGCCCTCATCTTTCCAAGACCTAGCGATACATGAAATGGTTGGAAGATTTGCTTTGCCCTTTCTGAAAATAAAACAGTGATCAAAAGATGAGTAATTTCAAGGGTTGTTATATAATTGATACTGAGGATTGCGAAACAAACAAATTAGTCACATAGCTCGGCCATGTTTTATGGTTAACCAAACAAACTCAACTGAAGTGTCTACAAAAAAGATTAAGTTCCACTCAGACTTTCGTTTCTTTTCTTTTTTTTCCATATTTCGAGGGATTATTTGGGGCTACTAGAGAAGTTCCCGAACGTTTATTTCCTTGCAAATTTCACCTACCGACTCGGCTAATGTGGCCATGAAACTGATTCGAAATCATAGATGAAGCCATCTAAAGTCTGAAATCAAAAGAAAACATTTTAATGTCAGGTATAGAAAGCTTCATTGAAAAATGATTAAGTGAAAAGTGTAAAGCCTTCTTATCTCACTTGATTTTATCATTAATCATTAATTATTTGAAATCGCTTTAATGTCATTACCGAGCAAACGCAAACTACGTTTACATTTAGCAGTTGTCCGCCTTCGAGAAGTAATTCTAGATCAATTGTCAAACATCAATTTTCTGGTCTTGTCATTTCATTGTAAGTTGAATAACAGTTATCATTAATTTGGTAGTGATAGCAAATTTAAGGCAAGCAGCTACTGTAGCAACAAAAACTTTCATTTCAAAGGGGATTTTTAAAGTTTACATTATTATCACATTTCTTTGCAGAATTATTTGCAATGAAGACAATCAACACGCTCCTGATCATATTCGTCCTGACCTGTTTAATCTCTCTGTCAAATCCTATGGCAATAGGAAAAGGTCATCAAAAAGAACTATCTTCCAATACTTTTCTACGACAATTTTCCTTTGGTAAGAGAAACAATAATGGACTCATTATTTTTAAGTATTCAATAGTGGGATTGGTGTTCCTTGTATAATTAAATTTTGCCTATCATTGCATAAAAATAACTTCATCTTCCGAATTTTACCCGGCTTCTTCTTACGAGTTTTGACACATAGAGCGCTGTAGTCTAAGTTTCTTTGACTTTTCGTTGTGAAGCCTCAAGTTTATACTTTGCTGGCTCAGTTTCTCTCGCTTTGTAACATACTTCAGTAAAAAAGGTGGACAATTTTGTCATTTCTCTGCTTTTCAGATGATACCGAACAAAAACGATTACTGCCATGTGAAGACGTCGGAGACCCATATCACTGCTTTTATTTAGCTGTGGTTGAAGATAATTGCGATCAGCATGGTGGTAACCTGTGTAGTTATTCTTGCGGGCTGTGTTAAAAACAGGGTCAATATAAGTTTTCCCAAAATAAGAGTGTTTTCAGCGGAAAACTGTTGACAGTCTCAACGCTTTGATGTTACTGTAGAAAGGGAAATAAAATAGAATTGTGAAAAAACCAATTTACATTGAGCTCACGAAGAATACGCTTTTACCGAAATCGGCGGTGGATTAAATCTCTTTTCGCAAAACGGTTTTCACCAGCCAATATGATGTTTATAGTCTGCGAAAAATGACAGAAGGACAACTTTTAAAAATGTATTAGGGTTGTCATAAGCTTATCAATTTGATAACCCCGTCAGGTTCTTTCATGGAAGACTTTGAAAATATACGCGTTGATTATTTTCCCTTTTCCTGTCGGCCATCTTACCAAAAAGGTAAAAAGCTTTAATAGCTGTATTATAGCTGATAGCTAAATGGGCTGAAAGGTTGGAAAGAGAAAGAATATGTATTGCAGATCAAACAGATCAAAATGATTGCATTGACTTCCTATATTAAATTCTCATTGTTCATCATCAGGCGCCCAAAATGAAGGGTTTTTTTTTGTTTTTTTTTTAGTTTAGGAGTATTGACCACAGATAAAGGCGCCAAGCTGCGCGTTTGAGGATGCTCTTTTAAGCTTGTAGACGATTATTTTATTCGATTAAACCTACAGGAAAAATAATTGATATTCCTCGATCATTCTTGAAATAGCCGTACCTCCATGTTTTCAAGTATTTATGAAGTTTGGTTGGAATTTTATCGTCAAGTGACATAAAGATTTTGACGATTTGTGCTTGTCAGCAATGTGGTTCTTTAGGGAACATTTTTCGAGAATTGCTTCTATTTTAATTAGCAGACGATATGCTATGATAATTATTTTCTAACATAGTCTTTTCAGCTTTTCTTTAATCTTGTTATCCATGGAGCAATAAAAGGGGGTGGAAATTAGTAAAAAGAGTTAATTTTTCAGCGTTTAAGTTGGAAATTTATTCACGTTCAGTATCTACGAGAATGTGAAAAGCAGTGTGCTAAAAAATTTTAAGTTGTCGTGAGATAGACATACGAATCTCGGAAGTGTTCATGGCAATAATGCATTTTTCATACAAAGAGAAAATGGACAAATGGTTCATCAATAGCTATAACGCATGATTCAGTTTTGTTATTGCGGAAGTATTGAGCAGATCATAGCACTCCTAAAAGGAAAGTAAAAAGTACTTTCTCTCTTTTGTTCATTTTATTTAACGGAGTCTGAAACTTACATTTTGTCGCTGTTCATTACTAATGAACAAAAAGAAGAGCATTTGAATTTCGGATAATTTAGCTCAATTATTAAAACGAGTTTTGGAAACACATTCTGAGTTCCACTTTCGTATGGTTTCACTGCTACAAAGGCTTCAATATACATGAAATAGACAACTCTTTACAGACAGCATCGGGCCTGCAATGTAAAAAGATAAAAAATAAACTTAGAATTAAGAAAGATCTCATTAACCATTATTAAAGAGCACGTTTGCTTTCGAAAAAAAAGGAGGAACGAGAACGTAGCATTGGTATCTTTCCTTGGTTGTATGAAATTGATGTGCATGTTGAGATGCAAACCTGGTTTTGCATTCAAAATTATCGACCTCGCCTACTGAAGGGGGCTCTTTAGAAATTGGTCAGATAACCAGCGCATCTAAATGTTAACACTGAAAATTACACTAAGTAAATGGCCCAAAATTCATATCTGCTCGAACAGTCATATAAAATAATAGTTACACATAGTCATACATATTAAAGAGTACACTTGTCAAACCATCAGAAAGCGTTTAAAATTTTATACCTAGCAAAATCCGCACATTCTTCTGCAATTCTGTTTCATGATTCCTGGTTGATAAAGGCAGGAATCCTCGTAATATACTTCTAGCTGGCAATAAATTTCGCCTGCAGCATTTCTACATAAAGGAGCTCTCTTCTCTTCATGAGGAACAGCTGAAATAAACCATAAAAAAGTGCTCTCAAAGTGATCTCACATCCTTAAATATCAAAATCTGGATGGAGCTGAATTTTGTTTTGATGGTTTTTACTAGGAAATGCACATCAATTTTACTGAAACAAGAGCACTTGTACACCAGAATAAAAAATATACTTAAAGACTCTCGTTGCTTATGGAATTTTAAGACTCCTCCGCACAAAGCGGGCATAGTTTGAAGGTTCGAAATTATTCCTACGCCGGCAGAGAAATATCTCCACATTAATCATCGATGTATTTTTGGCGGTATTAGACCCCTTTAAAACCTGACCGTAAAGATATATACTGGAGTTTCTGCTGTTTTTGACTGTCGCGATTTTAAATATTTCTTAAGCAGTGTGGAAGGGAAATATCTATAATCTGTTTTCTGCTGTAAACACAAAACTTCTTTGCGTTTTGAAAGTAAAAAACGCTGCATTTTAATCTACTTGGCGTAAATTTTTAAGAGGCCTAGGTATGGCTCATTATGATTCTGCCTACAGAATTACCCGCTCCATTCAATTTCATCATAACGATTTCATAATCAAACCACAAGAAAATAAAATGAAAGCAAAGCAAAGAGGAGGGGGCGTATACAAAGCGCAAAAACGACTACAACGAGAACGTGGTGAAACAAAAGACTAAAACATGTCTAGCGTTATACACATCATAGCCACTAACTGCAAAACAATGTTGTGAAATAATTTTTAAATTCCGTGTGTCGTGAGAGAGAAGCTGGAGGTCCGAAGGTAAATTTTATTCTCGATTCACACTGTCGTTAAATATTACAATAAAGAAAACATCTTGGCCTCTTAGGGAGTATTGACGATTTCAAACCTTCGAAAATTTGAAAATTCCTAAGGCAAATGGAAGTTGTATCGTTATTGACGTTTTCTTAAGCGTCACCATAATGAGTGTTTTTACTCCAGCCAATCATTGTTGCTTTTAAAAGAAGAAAAAAGCCAGAAGTGTTTTGAAAACGGTAAGGTTATCTATATCTTCCTGAGTAAGTTGCACGATTTTACTCATAAGTTTGTTTGTTCCCGAGTTTTTTACTTTTTTTCATCGCAATTAAACATTTATTACCTCCTTGCATTTCGAGTTGGTTTATTTACTTTAGATGTGTGGGTTCATCTTATATGAGGCAATCATTTTATGAGAATGTTTACTTAATTTAGTGTAGAAATAACTGTGAGGTGTAACTCACTATCTTTATATACAAACACAAGAGTCTTTAAGTACGAACCTAAAGAATACACTTCACCATGTGCATATTGCTTATTTGTGGTCTTTTGCTTTAGTCGAGTTCGTGAGCCAAATGGAATTTCCTATGAACTCATTAGTGTTATCAATTGCGGGGATTTTGAAAGGCATTGAAGGAATGAGATTGTAAGAGATAGACATGACGAAGAAACGAAGTCTCTATAAATTTCTTTCATTATTTCGGCAGTTTGAATTTTACCATCTGGCGTATTGACATAAAAAAGGGTTTTGAAATATGAATAATTAAAACCCCAAAACGAATATTACACGTCAAAAGAAGGATCGTTAATCAATAGAAATCGATTGTTATTAGAAGAAATTCTTCACATTTAGGCACAAAGGCTCGACATTTCTTAGGATTCGAGAATTTTATTTGCAGATCTGTCCGCTTCAAGCTGTGCTCTTGTGGAATGATGTTTCTGATACTGGAATCTTCTTGCCCACCCGCGAGCGAATGATGGTAACGGCATCGACGGGGATAAAAAGCGCTAGTGAACAAAGCCACAATCTTGTTCATAAACGAGGGCGATTGTTAATCACAATTGACGTTGGAGGTATAAAATGATGCCTACAACCATTGTTCAGGGTCGAGAAAAAAATTGCTTCCTCGCTCAAGAGTAAGCTATATCCATAATTAATTACAAACAGGACCCATTAGACAGATGCTTTAGTTAATAGCATCAAGTTAACAAATATCTTTGAACTTTATGCTAATTTTTGAGCCAACTCAAGGAGAACAATTTAAATTCTAACTTTCTCATATCTTATTCACAAACAGTCTATCATATTATTTGTAAAATAGGATCTATGCATTTCATGTCGTCAGGTGTTTTGCAGGACGTTCTAAGTACGAGCGAAAATAAGATAGATCATCGACTCTTTGTACGCGAGGTTCATGGGTGGTATGTAGCCGAATCTAGAATGGTAGAAAGTTATCGATAATATATGCATATTCTTTCAAATTCTGTAATTAACATAAGGTAGGGAAAATATGTAAGCATTTTTACAGAAAAAAAAAAAGAGTAGTGAAACCTGGCAAAATAAACTACTAGGTTAAACAATTCCTATTCTTCATAGCTGAATTCAATAATTCTATTTATTATCTTAAAGAAGTGACTTTTGAAATGTGCTACTTGGGCCAAGGGACGATGCAAACCAAACTTTATTTCTGTAGGTTGCTTCAATATTGGTTCAACTCTTGTACACGACTGCATTTATTATGACATTCTCTCAATCAGCTAGTAGATGATAAATATTGTCCTACCTTTGTCGTAATGACCGGATTTTCCAAGCTCTCTGGTAAAGTCTTCTCTTGGAAATGGCACAGCCACAATCAAAGAAACCAGTGTTGTTAACGTAAGGCACGCAAGGAACTTCATTATGAACTAGATATCGCTGTAAATAATTTAAATATCGTGACGTTATTTTTTACTTGGGTATGAACACAGCTTGTGTTAAAAAAGTCATCATTTAGGGTAGCGAAGCAGGCTCTTTCTAGGTACTTAAGCAATAAAACAAGGTGACAAAATTTATTACGCTGGCCGTACTCCGATTCAATCGGCGTAACATATGGCAGTCCTTTTCATTGTCCAACACGCGATCTGAAATTGAACTCCCTATCTGGGAAGCCATTAGGAGCCTAGATATTTAAAAATAAACCGTTCAAAATGTGACTTTGAAAAGAAAAATTTCTCGGAACCGGATTTTCAGTTAAAGACAAATCACTTTTGAAATGTCCTGCCATCTAGGAAAATCAACAAACAAATGTGGAATCTTATTAGTGCGAGAAGATGCCGCTTGTTTTAGCATTCTCTATCGAGTTCCTTACTTTGGTAGTAGGTAATACTGATATCAAAGATAATTTTTGGTTCTTTAGGATGGGATTCTTGAGAAGATAGCCACAAGAGACTCACCTTCCACGTCAATCAACTTAAGTATCCGGATATGAACTAAGACTGGTTTTGGTGAAAATTATAGCGCTTGATTTCAACTTTGTGAATTATTGATAAAGATTCCATCTTTTATTGGCGACTACATGCCGATGTTTTTAATGAGCGACCAATCGATTTCTCTCGGCGGAAAGGTCTATGGCTTACTTCTAAAGTTATTTTAATCAAATTGTAATGCAAGGCTTAGTCGAACTGCTTCAAGTGATATCACCTACCCTGCTCTTTCCAAAATTTCAGCCAGCATGGTAAACAAAGGACGTGATGATAACTACAGTTGGTTGGCAGATCGATATCATTCAAAGTGAAAGACACCAAATGAAACTCTCTATCAATCTTGGCTCGGTAAAAACGTTCCTGTGTTAACTTTTTTTTCTTTTCCTCTCTTTTTTGTACATGCCCTAGCTTACGTGTTCTAGAGTGGGGTAGGATAATCAAATATCTGACAAAAACACCTGGTGATCATAATAAACCTTTTTGAGAGAATATATTTTACAGGCCTGTCGAGTTGGACCATCACGAATGCTTTAAATGATGTGAATTACGATTCAGGTCAGTTTTCACAATTATTACCAATTTAAAGCAAAAATGTAGTCGGGATCTGTACTATTGATACGCTAAAACTGCGATAACAACATCTCCACAATCATGTTCTTGAATAAATTATTCAAATCGCGAGTTGTTACTACCCTTAGGCTTTATACAATTTCAGGTAAAAGTTTGTTCTAAGGGGTTTTCGAATTTTATAATATGTACGATATTGCATATTTCAAGCAGGAAAAGGTGGAAGTCATAAAAAGTATAGTCAACAACATAATCTGCAGTCACGGCAACTTATTTACAAAACATTAGACATTCACAATTTCTCTATTCCTTAACAATTCTGGTCATAAGGTCAAAAATAAGGAGAGAAATAATAAACATAAAATGCAACTAAATATTAAAGAATATTTTCTTTATTTTGTATTCTCTGGTATTTTGCCATGTAGGCACATTCAACTAAACCTCGGCACGTATCGCACGTTATTTCAGTTTAAAAATTGAGGCAAAGGAGAAAAAATAAGCTCAAAATTACATTATCTTCCAGTTTAATCTTCAAATCGAGAAGAAGGAAAGTAGACATCAATTTTGTTCATAGTTATTGCAGATGCAAGAAACGTTGGTGAAAAAACGCCTGAAATCAGACGGCTGGAAGTTCTGATTACGCCGTTTGCCGTTTTTTGATAGGATCATCCTAAAGTTTTCGAGTAACAAAGCAGGGAATATGAATACGTATTATATGTTACCTTAAACATAACAGATGATAGGATCAGATCATGAGTTTTAAGTTAGATACTACTAGAAACTTCGAACTTCAACCACGTTTGAATATGCGCTTCATTTTCGCCATTAATTAATAAAAAGAAGTTAATGATCAAAAACCGCATTGTCATTATTTATCTACTAATGTGAATGTTATTAGAGCAATGAAATTTAAAATTCTTTTTATGTTAATACGCTATTTTCGGTTGTCGGCTCACAGCTTCATATCAAAATTATATAAGCGGAAGAATAAAGTGTTTTCTAAATAATAAGTCTTTCGTGCATTACAGTCCAAGCTATTAGTCAGAGATGAGATTACAAACACTTGTTATTTGGTGCCCACCACGAGCCCTTACGGAATAAAAATAAAAATTTTAAAATATTTGAAAAACCTGTTTACAAAGATATTTCGAATTGTTAATAATTCAAAATGAATCTCTTTATAATCGTAAAATCGCGGGGTTACCCGATATTAGTACCAATAACAGGTGTGGAACAAATGGGAATTATAAACAATTACAATTGGTAAAATGAAAAGGTGAATTCCAAGTGCATAACAATAAACTGCCTTCAATTCTTTTTGTAAGTAGTAAGTTTGGTTTATGAAAATGTTGTGTTGTTCAGGATTTTTTTCTATCGCACTTTGTAATAATCGTCTTACTTTGTAATATCTGTCAAACTTTATAAATATTGTTGTCTCAATTTGTAATAAAGTCGTCGCACTTTGCAAGAGATTGCATTCTATTTTTATTCGCTCTGATGAAGTGCTAACGCTCGAAACGTCAGCTTTGAAACTCTCTACGGTGGCCAACCTAAGTTATCAACTCAGCTGATAATACTAAACTACCCTGTTATACTCTCCCACCGACACAGCAACACTGTTTCTTTAGAAACTTGCCCCTTTTATTCATTTGAACTTTGTTATAACAGACTATCGCACTCGGTAAAAAAAATTGCCTTAATTTGTAATTAAAAAAAGCTTTGGCTGTTTGTAATAAATTACCATTGTACTTTAAAATAATATAAGCTTTCACACTTTGTAAGAACACTTGCCGCACATTGTAATAAACTTGGTATAGTTAGTCGGAGGGCGAGTCTAGATCGCAAATTATTGCTTAATTTGGGTCCTTCTCTAAAAAAGTGGTTCTGTTGTTGCCAAAGTGCTGGGTTACATTTAGCATATGAAAAGCATAAGACTGAGTGGGGTCTCTAAGAAGGTACCATGCAGTGCTCACAACCACGTACCTCTTTCTTAGGCCTGTTTATTATTTTCAGGATAATTAATGCTGTTTTATACGAGTAGACTTGTTTACCCATAGACATGCACACAAAGTTTATAAAAATGAAGAAGAACTGATGATCTGAAACTCAGGAAAAATGCTTTCTGCCTACATTGTAAGCCTGTGCTTGCATTGATGGAACATAGTACTGGCCAGAGATTTAATTGCTGGCAAATGGTGATATTTTAAATTTTGCCATGTTCTGAAATAAGATGTTTAATTTCCTTCGGTATCCTAGATGAATGAACAAGAAATTGAGTTTTAAACATATATTTAAGCACGGAACGGGTAACTTTCTTTAGTAAGCCTATAAAGAAAATTCCCAAAATGAAAAGAGGCCACTTATAAACATCGAATAAACAGTAGCGTATTTCCGAATTGTTTATAGCACAAGGTTAGGAGATTCAGAGAAACATAAGGAATTTTAAGAAGCTAGTGTCTCTTTTAATAAAATGAAAGGTATGCGTATGCGCCATTGCAGAAATTCCTACCCAAGTACTCTAATTTCCCTGTATGCGGAAGTATGCATCTATGGAAATCGCAGTGCATTGCGTGCGATTTGAAAATGCAAATCTAGCGCCAAAAAATAGAGACTACACCTCTGACGATGGCCACTCGTCCCTTTCGCCGCCAATTGGTAAGGATTTTAAATATTGGAGAGTACACCTGGATGTTAATAGACTACGATTACCTTGGTTCTCCCTTGTTTAAGCTCATGCTCTGCTTTTTTTTTTCCTTGTGCAAGATATATTTAGGGATTTTTCTATCGATCATTAGCTTGGCCGTCTTAGAGTATCCTATTCCTTCTGTTTTTGTTTTGTTTTGTTTTTTTAATGGAGGGAGAAAAAGCGACACACCATGGGCGGCTATCTTAATGTAAGATCTCCACTAAGGTTACTTATGGTGTTTAGCAAAAGTACCTAACAAACTAAAAAAATATTTCAGAATATTATGCAGATTATTACTAAGGATGGCTGGGCGCAGTTTTTCAAGCTCTGGCCGACAATATTCTGGGCGCGTAAAAGCAAACCTTCCCCCCCCCCCCCGATCGGTTTTCAAGCATCTGTTGACTGAAGGATTGAAATTTACAACGAAGGATGTGGCATGGCAATCGTCATTAATATACAAATGTTATGGGGAATTTCCTTCAACATTATTTGGGGACGGTCTCGGAAGGTCCTCGATATATTTTTTTTAAATTTCAGAGTGTTCTCTTGAGGGATAAGATAAAGGAAAGAGAGGAAAGTACACCATTATTTAGGCACGATAATAAATTAAGCGTGAAGCATGTGGAGTGGTGTAAATAAGGACACGTGCTGAAAAAAACAACAAATAAAAAAGGATAAAATATGTGTACAGATTTAAGTAAACCGAAGTAAACTTTATCACATAAACTGTGGTGTTATACAAGGATTTCCGGCCCTGAGAAAAGCCGTAACAACACACATAAAAAAAAAACGATCGTATTTTTTTACGTGTGTTGATATAGCCAATTAGCTGCTTACACGTCACTCGCCTTTGGCGCCACTCGGTTGATGAGTAAACGGCAAAGCCTTCATGATTCTCAGTACAAGTTGTTTGTCGCAGCTTTCTCGAAATGTGGCGGCTAAAACACTAATAGATCCGTATCGCTGACAGACGATGAGGTTCAAACTTTCCTAGAAGGGAAAGAAAACCAATATACTAAACGAAAAACCGAAAGTTTCGTATTCAGTGGCTTTGGTGTTAACATTTCTCTCGGCTGAGAATGAAAATCGACAAGTGGAAGATTTGCCACTAGCCGATTTTGGCCGTTTACCTGAAAGACTTCATCTGTCGGTAAGGACAAAGTCAATAAATGAGAATTTTGTTAATTGAAAATTACGACCGTTGTTGTTTTTGAAATCATGATTCAACGCATTTTTCCATCTTAAGAGTCAGCGCTAACGCACTCTGCGATTGTTATTCGAGGATTGTCGATTCCTTTATTTTCATTCGTTGATGAAGTCAGCTTTTCTTTCCAGTAAAGGGCTATTGTGTTTATATGATAAACAAAATAATACATGGTTGCTTGTAGATATGGAATTCCTCTTCTCGTGTTCAACTCGACGTCTTACTCGTTCGCCGCGCTCACGTTTTCGTATCAATCATGAAATGTACATCGCTGTTTAGTCAGTTCCAACCAATTAAGTCTTGTCGTTCCAAATTACGATGCCGCAAAGTTTATTTTAGATTTATGAAACATGATACTGTTCAGGTAATGAGCTCTGAATTAAATTCTAAAGAATCAATTATATTTCGAAAGACCAATTTTCAATATGATCTGGGCTCTGGTGCTAAATTAAAAATGAGTTTCTCTTATCGATGGGGAAGTTCTAAAATAAGACGTTTCATTTCCTGCGGTAACCAAGATGAATAAACAACAACTGAGTTTTAAACACATATTTAAGCACGGAATGGGTAATTTCTTCTAGCTAGCCTACCGAGAAGTTTCTCAATGCCGACGATAATTTCTCACTTTGTTAGCTTTAGTTTTCGATCTACGCAGACGAGTAGCGTTTTAATTTTAGGTGTGCTAAAAATTAAGGAGAAAGAATAACGCTTTAAAATCTTACGTAGAAAGACGATAAATATATTTTAAAAAGTCACGCTCAATAGAGCTGAATGGAAAAAAAAAGGAAGCGGTCTGAACAATTTGGAACTGTTGAATCAGTCATTTTTGATCTGTACGAGCCCTGCCAAAACCAAGTGGTTTCAATGATTTGTATATGTAATTGTTCGTTCAGTTAATTACATTTCCTATCACCAAGTT